ATTTGGAAACCTTTCTTCAATATGAAAGGAGGGGGTGGGGGCTTGAATAAACAGTGGAAACTTTTTTTTTTTTTTTTGGTCTAAATATTATGGCCCACAACCATATGGTCTAGCTGGCTTCCTTCCTGATAAAAGGCTTGTTTATTGTCATGTAAACACAAGCTGTGTGCAAAGGATCAAAATATTTAAGCACACTTTAATAATTTATGAAAATATTCTTCCTTGATTTGCATTTGCCTATATTTATTTTTAATACAGATTATCTAAGATGAAAAATACCATTAAACAGATTTATGTTTAAAAAAGATATCAGAAAGGTTAAGAAGGTCAAGAAAAATTAATATTCATACAGTAATTTTTATATTCTTAGCACCCAGTCTGCCACATATTAAGTAAATAAATGCCTATTTCTTGAATGACAGAAAAAAGCTCAAATGAAGCCATATTTGTTTCTTAGTTCTGAACAATTCTTTTATTTCTTTATAACCTAGTTTGTACCAGAAAGAATTTCACACAGAAATGAAAGCATGGAAGGTTCAGGAATCCCAGTATGCAGACAATGATTCTAAAGTCTGAGGTTACAAGTGTCTTTGTAGTGTTAACTCTGTAAGGAACAGGAGAGGAAGAGACCTTTAATTACATGTCTGAGTGGTAATGTTTCTTTAGCTATTGCTTGTAATAGGATCTTGTAGCTATTGCTAATGAGTAAAGGAAAGATGACTAGGATGCATGCATGATCTAAAGGCTATCTGAAACATACAGAAAAATTATCACATAAAAATGTTGACATGAATACACTTTTGGTTGTTGTTAAGTGCAGTTGAGTCAGTTCGGCTCATAGCAACCCTGTATAGGGTTTCTGAGGAGTGGCTGGTAGATTTGAACCTTTCAGCTAGGTTAGCAGTCCAGTACTTATCCTACAGCACCACATTTGCTGATTTGGGTCTTGTTAAGTGATGTCAAGTCTGTATAGAGTTTCCCAGAAGTGGCAGCTGGGTTTGAACTGCCTCCTGGTGACTCAAACCAACCTTGGGATCCAGTGTTTACAGCGCCACACTAGGACACATCAGGGCTCCACTTCTGGTTAGTTATGGTGTGCCACTGAGTCAGTACCAACTCCGAGTGACCCTGTATAGTGTCTGAGGCTGTAAATCTTTACAGGAGCAGAAAATCTCATCTTTCTCCCTTGTAGCTGCTGGTAGATTTGAAGTGTTGACCCTGTAATTAGTATTAGTAGCTCAATTTGTAACCCAATAATCTACCAGGCTTATTAAGGAGCTCTGATAGCATAGTGGTTATGAATTGGGCTGCTAACCTCAGGGTCAGCAGTTCGAAACTACCAGCTGTTCCACGGGAGAAAGATGAGGCCTTTTGCTCCCGTGAAGATTTATAGCTTCGGAAACCCTGTGCAGGGTTGCTATGAGTCGGAACCAAGGCCATGGCACATAACCACCAGGAATATTTGGTGGTTGTTATTGTTGTTAAGTGCTGTTAAGCTGTTTCTGACTCATAGTGACCCTGTATACGGTTTCCGAGAGTGGCTGGTGAGCTTGAATAGCCAACCTTACAGTTCAAACTAAGTTTGCGATCCACCTCACAAAGGTGGTATCAGTGATTACAATGCTTAGGATAGCTACTGGAGATAACACATTTTTACAATATACACAAACTAAGGTATTCTGAAAGGATAGGTCAACAGATCTCCTTCCACACTTCTTGTTTCCTTACAATTGTGTAACATAAATTAGACAAATACACAGGTGTCCCTCACATTTCAAGTTATAGCCTAGAAGAAGGGCAGAGACAAAGCAGAAATCATAGTGGGAGACGGGGAGCAGAAAAAAGCTTCATGGAGATGGGATCTGAGTGATGTCTAAAGTCATTCTAAGGTATAAAAATGATGATTGGCTTAATGGTAGAAGCACTGTATCTCCAAGGTTATTGGAAGCATTTGATTGAAGGGTGATACCGTTTTGATCATCTAAATGAAGAAACCTAGTGTGGGGTTTTCAGAACTAGCATTGCAAGGTCGATACGAACCACAAGGTGTGAGGTTCTAACTCACCAGCCATCCCTGGGAACACCTATATAGGATTGCTATGAGTAGGAACCGACTCGACAGCACCTAACAACAACAAAAGCATCATAATACAATTCATTTCAGGACCTTACCTATTTGCTTGTTGACTGGCTGAAATTTTCTCTTCTTCTGTTTCTCTAGGCAATGAGTGTGAGCCAGTTGGCTGAACACCCTTCACAGCAAAAGTAGCTAAATGTGACAGGTTTGGCAATCTTTCACATTGAATAGCTTTGAAGGAAAGTCAAATGTCATCTGTGTGCAACTTCTGAACACAAACATTTTGGATGGTCTGATTAAATGTTCTAACTAAATGCTATGTTGTAAAAGCTAGGTACATACTTATGTTCTTTGAAAAAGCCTAAGGATAGTTCTTTGGAAATAGGTAATTCTAGGTGTGATTTTGCCTGCTTTTGTTGATGGTTACTTGCACAAGCTTACTATACCATGGAAATTCTCAGGCAGTTGCATTTTTTTCTTCCTCTCCGAGTGTCCCCCTGTGCACCATGTCAGTGCAATGTGAAGCAGCGAGGAAGAACGAGGCGAGATCAGGTTCCAGGCTTGCCAGGTGTGTCAGAGACTTTTCCTTTGAGGTTTCCAAAGCATTTACACATTTGACATGGAGATGTTCAGATGCTGCTGTACCCCAGATCTGTCTTCTGAATAAATAGCCTGAAAAATGCTCTGCATAGCATGGTGACCTCCGTTAGACTGAAACTGTAAGGCTGTAGGTTATATAGTAAGCTTGCAGAACTTCAGGATTCACTGGAGTTTAAATAAAAAATCACACTATAACTAAAAACTATGATTTTCAATCTTGTAAGCCAAATCAAGACATTTACCTTTCTCATTTCATACTTATGGGTTCTGAGGTCAGGGCCAAGACAAAAAAAAAAAAAAAAAGTATCTTATATCTTCTCTATCCCCTACCCTTTTCCTCTACCCCAGATTATTTTTTTCAGATTCTGATTTTATTTCCCAAAAAAATGGGAGTCAAGGTCTGAGTTTCTGTTAAATGCCGCTGGGTCTATTTTGACTCATAGCAACCCCGTGTAAGGAATGGCCATGAGTGTGAACTGCTGACCTTGTAGCTCAAACTGACCTTGCGGTTGAGTGCTTATCCTATAGCACCACATGGATATGTAGTTGGCTGCCTAGTTTCCCCCATTAATGCCAGTCTGAAATGGTGATTTCTATTTAGGCAAAGGGACCTGGGAAATGTATGCCAGCTGCAAAGGGTCTCAAGTAGGCCTAGGTGATTTTTAGTGATTCTACTGGATTAATGTGATCCAAAACTGCAGAGAAGAAACTGAAATGTTCTGGTAGATT